GGGGGGTGTTCTTCATTCCAAAACCATTGGACCCGAGGCTTAACATACCTATATGTTAGGATCTCGTTAGCTGGCTTCACGAACCGACTTGGAGGAGCAACCAACACCCTTGGATGCAAAGGCGGTGCATCCAAGGGCCAGGCGGCGCCCGTATGCCGCCGCCCGGTGTCCCCCTGTGGCCACCGACCTCCCTGCTGCCTACAAGTACCCCCCCCCCTTATGCCTCTCTACACTATAAATAGAGAGTGTGGAGCTCGGTGGAAAGACGCCCCATTCATTTCCAAGCTCTCCTAGCTTCTCTTAGCTTTCTAGCTTAGCATTAGCTATAGAGTAGTAGTCTAGTAGTGGAGTAGAGCAAGAGGGGAGCTTCTCTCAGAGTCCAGAAGAGTCTTATGGGTCTGGTACAGCTCTTTTGTAATTCTTTCATTTCAGTATTTACTTTATTTAGTACTTATTTTGGTACTTTGTTCTAGTATTATTGCTTGCTTTACTTAAGTACTTAGTCATTAGTGTTCATCGTTAGTGAGCTTAGGTGTTTATTGTTTGGCATTAGTAGCATAGGGTATCTCTTAATTAGTAGCTATTCGTTAGTACCGCTTCCACCATCTGGTTAGGGTGCTTTGATCTCATTTCATCGGAGCTCGGATCGAAGTAGTAAGCCTGTAGATTAAGCGTGGTGCTTAGGCTATAGATTACCTGTGGATACAGCTAGGCCTCCGAATAGATTGTGGTAGGTGGCAAGTGGTGACAGCCTTGTCCATCCTTTGTATTCCATCACGATAGGTCTAGTTATTAAATCATAGGGCTCATGGCAGACCTTGTCTATTTAACTCTCCTAGTTGGTAGATGGGTTGTGCCCCGAAGTACTATCGCATTTCTTCTAGTCATTTGTTTACCTTAGTTACTAGAAAGATAAATCACTCGCTCTCCCACCTAGCTATCTCTAGTGTAGCTTGTATTTAGTAGTTAGTTTAGGTAGCTCACATTCACCCTTCACTATCGTTCACCTACCTAGGATCAACTTAGTCCTTCCTTAGTAACCTCTAGCCCAAAGATAAATTCTAGCCTTCCACCTTCCTGTGGGATAAATATAAATTCGACACTCGGTACTCACCGAGCGAAGTGCTACGCGATAGTTCTGTACGCTTGCGGAATCCTCCAATAGTCGTTAAGAAATATCAATATCAATCATGTTAACTTTGATTTTCTCCTTGAGCAAAGCCATCTTGAGCATGTGACTTGATTCCAAACAACAAATGTGAGTTGACTTCAAATGTATCAAGTCACTTCAATAATTCATCCAAAATTTGATTCTTCGCTTCAATGTGATCATCATGGTTTGATTGGTACCTCAACTAAATGCAAGTACTTTCTTCTTCACCCTAGCTAGGTTCCTCGGTTGCCAAGCCGTCGCTTGCCCTTCACCCTTGCTTAGTACCTCAAAGCATTTCCTTGCCATCGAGTTACACCTTGTGTTGAATCATCCATTAAGATCATTTGTATAAATGTCTTTCAATGTAGCAAGCTTTAGAATGTGAGATCATTCCATGTGCAATTCCTCATGTCTCATTAATGAATTCTTCAACGTGCGCTTTCACATGAACCATAGAAATCCCACACTGAATAAGCTTTACATGAATTATATTTTCATTGTTGTCTTGTGTTTGAGCTAGATTGTATATACAACAACACATCATTTTGGCTTTCATCAAGTACCTGTGAGATAACTCATTTCCTATCCAACACTTATCAAATAGGTTAGACCTTTAATCATGTTGTCATTCAATCATCCAAAACCTACTAAAGGGCTTGATGCACTTTCACAAAGGGTTACTCTAGTGGGTTGCTCGAGGCTAGTTGGAGAGCTCTTTGTTGATTGGATTCTGCAGCACCCAAGCTAAGGGTCAAGCTTGAGAGGCTTGTTAGCGCGCGAATCGATCACCTAGGGACTATCCTCAATAAGGACATAGGTTGCCGGTAAGCAACCGAACCTTGGGGATATATCTTGTGTCATCTCTTTGCCCCAATTGGTTTGCAAACTCTACACACTTGTGCATTACTTCCATACTATTGCTTGTGTAGTTGTTGCTGGTAGTAGTAGCTCTCTAATTTTAGTTGTAGCTTTAGTTGGTAGAAGTAGCTAGTTTAGCTCAACTAAAGTAGTTGCTAGCCTCTTGTGTGCTTAAAGTGCTTTAGTGGTAGATCACCTTGCTACTAGATTTATTTAGAAGGCTTGCATTTGTGTGAATTAGGTTAGGCAAAGTAGTTGCTATTAGGGTCATTTATTGTTCTAATCTCTTTGCTCTAGTGTTGTGATTTTATAGATAATTTTTAATAGGCTATTCACCATCCCCTCTAGCCATCATACGTCTCAATGTCATAGTTCATGCCTTTCAAATGAATAGATGATGGTTATTCTTGTTTCAATTATAGCCTGTTGTTCAATATCTATTCCTGACTCATACGATATGCAGACCATCTTTGTAAGGATCTAGAAATGGCTATGATGCTCTCCTGTTTAGCTGCAAGAGATAGTGTTGCATTAGTAGAAAGAATGATGGTAGACCAAGAGATGGAGAAGAGAAGGCCACTCGCCTAGAGGGCTTTAAGAGGTAGCTAACAGGATCGAGTAACACTACCCTGTCAGCAACCTCCAGAACTTCACATACTCTACTTGATCATGTATTCGATCTCGTGGTTTTATAGACTATCTATAATAATATCAAAGGAGAGAAAATTCTCATCACAGATTCAGTGCTTTATCCGCTAAAGTGGCAAAGTGCTAACCTACCAGTCCATTGGTAAGAAAGGTAGCCGATATTTGAATGTCAGAGACTCTAGCACATGCTATTTGGAACCATGCAATGTCGCCTGTAATAGACCCTAGTGCCAATCTTTCATTTATTTATCAAACATCTCCTAACCAAGACACTGTTTCTCTCCGTGTCCATTTCAAATGCCAGATAGAAATCGCAAAAGACCCTACAGCAGGATACTAGTGATTAGCGCAGGTGTGCATCAGCATCAGCTCAGATAAACAAAGAGAACGCTCCCCAAGTCCCAACTGAAGACTCGCCCCCAAAGTCCCAGTCCCACTCCAAATTCGACTCGTGCATGTTCACAGCCATCAGCAGCAACGGGCCGCGGCCGAGAGGGACACGGGACGAAGGGAAGCCCTCAGCTCCGAAATCCCGCACCTACAGGCCAACCATCCGGGCCAGAGAGAGGAGCTAGGACAAGGAAAGAACACCAACGCCACCACCGAGCTGAGGCAAGGGCTCAAGGCCTGAGAGCAATCACCCTGGCCTCGCACCGCCCACCGAGGCCGAGGCAAGCAAGCAGAACGAAGACCAAAATCACATCGCGTAGCTACGAGCTACGAGTACTAGCTATCAGCGAGACGCTCGGCCACGAGCAACAGCTCCTCCGTCAGCAGCTGGGAGCCCAGCCCAGCAGCGCTTTGTCCCTTCCACCGATCGTTCCTCCGTCCTCCTCGCCTCCTCATCTCGCGCGAGCACCAGCAGCAAGGTGAGCTGAGCTTCCTCCACTCCCCGAACCCAACTGCTCACTTGTCTCGGACCGCGATTGCCCAGCCCCCATGTGCGCGCGCGTTGCGGGGCGGCATTGGGGCCCGGGGGCCGGCCCCGCCCCAATGGTGCTCGTCTCGCGCTGCTCCTACGGGCGCTCCGCTGCATCCGTCGCCTCCGTCCGCCTCGCCGGGAGTTTGGAATTTGGCGCGAAACCCTAGCCCCCTGCCGGAATTCGGGGTGGCGCGGGTCGGATCAGGGGAGCCTGGGTGCGCCCCGAGCAGGGGAATCAGTTTTGAATTGCGCACTGTTGCCGTGCCCAAGTTTGCTACGCGTTTGGGAATTTGGGTCTTCTTTTTTTCGCTCCCGCATCCAACTGAATTTCGTGTTGGGAAATGGAGCGAGCTCGTTCTGGTGGTGATCGGGGCAAAACCCTAGCTTGGCTCGTCGTGCTTTCATCGGAATTTAGAATCAGGGGAGCTCCGTGCTTGGGGGCGCGTTGCCTTTCTTTGCTTGTGATTTTTTGTTTCGAATCCTGCTGGCTGCTGCTGTGGCTTACTATGGTCTTGCCTCTGACTGTGCGGTCCCACGATTGTGGGATCTCTGCACTGCACACGTTTACTTTGTAGGTTCTCATTAAATTATCGATTTTGGCACTGGCTGTTCGGTTTTGCTGTGCCGGAAGAGCTCAGAAGACTTCCTTTGGGTTTATGCATAAAAAGGTGGTTAGGGTTGCAGAACTGGATTGAAGAAGCTTCCTATGGTCTTTATTGCGCTAGAGCCTTCTAGCTTATTGTTTCTTCAGCTAACAACTGATCCAATTTTGGTGACATGAGTTTTTCTCCTCGACCTGCTACTCTGCATGGTCTGCACCTTTAGATGTTGCATCAGCTTGTAGCATCAGGGCACGGTCTGAATGTGGAAGGAAGCTCCAGCCTCTGCACACATTAGCTCAATGCTGGGACGCTGATGAAAGCAAATACTATGGAATTTCATCCAGCATTAAGCCTATTGCTAAACCTCCAGCATTATTGTTGCAGAACTCCATAATGACAACCTCCATTTGCTCTCTGTGGATTTAATGTTGTTGTTTGTTAGGCTTTTTTGCTTGAAAGTGAGGTCCTAAAGTTTCATTTTCATGTCAAGCCTAATCTTTCAATTGATTAGCAAGGTTATGGGACTTAATCCAGTTTTAGTACTGTTCCGTTGGTTCTTAATTAATTGAACCTGGACCAAGCAGCATTTTTTTGCTCTTGCTTTTTTTATTTGTCTTGCACATTTCTAACATATTTTGTTATTAATTGCAGTTAGTTCTCCTGTTGGTTTATTTGTGTACTGGGGCATATTGGATTGGAGGAGCCAGAAAACTTGAAAACCCGCATATTGGATTGGAGGAGCCAGAAAACTTGAAAACCCAGAATTACTTTGAACTTATATTCATGTCCTGATTGTATGGAATCCCATTTCTAAGAGATGCCATCATCGACACCACCACCACCACAAAATTTTCTCCCACTACCATCACCAGTGGCTGGGCAGAGGATTCAGATTAACCTTGGGGAAATCAAACTAAAACTAGTTAAGAGGATTGGTCCAGAGCGAGCAAAGAAGTACTTTGAGCACCTGCAGAGGTTTTTGTCTTTGAAGCTGAGCAAGACTGTATTTGACAAGTTCTGCCTCACAATACTTGGTCATGATAACATTCAGCTTCATAACCACCTCATTTGCTCTATTCTCCACAACGCCTGCCAAGCAAGTGGCCCACCGACAGTCAGTACACCTAAATCAATTGGAGTTGCCAAGAATTCAAATCATGTTTTAAGTCCTACAGTCCCTGTCTCTGACATTGGTGATGTTCTGCATCATCATGCGAAGGACCACTATCCACAAAGCAGAAATGCACATGTTCTCCAGGAGAATGGTGCTGTGCATTTGAGCAAACTGAAGAGATTTCCGCAGCCTCAACAAAGTGAACTTGTGGAACAACTGTCCAAACGATCATGTGTGGAGAATGCATATTCAAATTTATCTGACTCCACAAATCGCAACTGTCCTGGTGTCTCTGGTAGAGAATATGTGGAAGCGGTTGCACAGCATGTTCGAGGTCCCATAACTGCCCCACTAGGGGTTGCCTTCTGTTCTGGTCATATTGGTCATTTTGGTGGGAATTTGAGAACTTTGACACTTCTCTCTAGTGCTAGCAGTGATGACTCTATTTGTTGTTATGACCTTGGTCAGCTGTGTGATACTTCATCACTGAGACAGCGTATGGGAAGAATAGCAGAAACAGAAGGGTTAGATGGTGTGTCATTAGAATGTGCTAATTCATTGAATAATGGAGTTGATTTTTTCTTGAAACAGCTTATTGGATCTTGTATGGAGCTAGTATCAGCAAGATCTCAGCATGATCGAATAAATCATATGGCACTAAAGCAACAGTTAAGTCAAAAGCTAATAAATGGTGTGCAGCTGCAAAATCAGGTCCATGGTCGAAGTGCCACTACATGTCCACAAATCCGCTCAGTTTCATTGCAAGACTTCAAGGCTCTATCAGAGACAAATCCTCAGCTGCTTGAAGTCAATGCATCATTGGTACTTGAAAAAATGAATTCATATGACTAATCAGTTAGGATGCAAATGGATTAATCTTTCTACAGAGTTTGATCTTTGCCTATCAGGCAAGAGGATTGAAAGCTCGAAATCCTATCTTTGTCACATGCACCATCAGCCAATGGTATGTGGACGTTTGCATGACTCAGAAAATGCATCCAGCTGAGGTTATAGCACCAAATGCGACAATGATGAAGTGTGAGCCTCGCCCAGCGTACTTCTCCACAAATTTCATGTTGACATCCAAGTCCTGACTTGCTTCTGCACATATATGCAGCTGAGGTGTTGCTTCCTGTTTCATCTCTGCTACTCAAAGGATGTTTTGACATTCTTAGTCTCATATGTAGCAGACACCAAATCTTCTCAGCTTGGTGTGTCTCCTATGGTGCATGGTGTATATTTTCATAATTTATTGATAGGCAACTGAAGATCCTGTTCTGGTGAATTCATGGCTCACTATTAAGACTGCTCCATCAAAATAAGTGAAGATCTCATAACTTGTAGAGAATGTTGATCATACAAAGACATCAATTTTGTGCTTGTGTTCACCAGTGAGGAGTCAGGACTGTACACAGAACCATGGTGATGCAAGGTGCAAAACAGATTCAGAACTGGGCTTTCCAGCACAAAAAAGAAGTTGATCGGTAAGTCTATTGCACTGGTGTGGTATAAATTGTTACATTTGTATTTTCGACTTTCGAGCATGTAGATACTATGAAAATTTTGATGCTTGTTATGTTTTGCCTGTCAACCTCTCAGTGCATTCTTCCTTTCTTTCACAACTGGTAAAAGTTACAAAATATAGTTTGACAAGCCTTACTCTGTGAATATTTGTTCTAACTGTTTCGTTATTGTATTTAACATAAACTGTTTAAATACCCAGTCTCCTTTCTGTTAGGTTATGCAAGTACAAAACATTTGATCCATATCTTGACTGTTTATATTCATCTACAATGGGTTCTATTTTCAGGTTTTTTACCTTTAGTTTGTGTTGTTGCCTGTTATGTGTTTAAGCAGAATTTAAAAATCAGTTTCATTTTGCTCTGCAAGAGATGAAGGGAAATCGAATTCATGCATGCATATATCTATATTGGAGATGGCCTTGTCCTGCAGTATGTCTTCAAGCTCCATATTTCTTTCCTTAGATATCCATGTTGCATCTTTTTGAACTTCAAATTAATCAGTAATATGGAAGTAGAATAATTTTAATATCATGGCCTTCACTTGCTAACTTAGGCGAGCATATTGGAGATGTAGCGAATGCAAATTCATATCTAGGTGATCATGCAAACTTATAATGTGGCCAATTGGAGTGCGTTTAGATGGACTAGATTTAACTCGAGTGGGGAACCACATCGTTCTGCATTCATAGGAGTGAGTGTGCATGTGTTGTTCTGTGTAATCGGGGGGAAAAAAACAGCGACATGAGTTTGCATGACCAATTGGACTGTTAATTAACATATACACATTTTTTATGACAATGATATTCAGAGAGTATAGAAAGAAATTAAACATATGAAGCTCGTATGAATCGAAGTCAAGATTGTATTAATCAATAGTGAACCAGATTGAAATGGATCAAGCACAAAAATTTTGCATGACCAATGGATTTCGCTGGATAGCATGTTCAACTCTGAACCAGTATAGGCACACTGAAGTCACTCACTCCATATATTGGGGCTAAGTGCAGAAAATGAAATTTGAAAATTTTGGAATTGAGAGATGCAAAATATTTGGGTTGGGCAAACCTTTAATCCGTAGGGATCCTTATGGGTGCAATGTCTGGAGATGAAAATGTGCTAGTAGTTGGGTGCCTTTGGTTAGAGAATTTGGGTTCATGTGAGACCCTCCCAAAACAATCTTTTTATTTTTTATCACAGAAGCACATGTACACTAGAGCTTGGACAAGTTACAGGTCCTAACTTGTAGAAGCGTTATCTTTTTCTTTTTGGTTCTTGAACATGTAGGAGAGCTGTGTATCACTTCATTAAAAAGAGAAACAGGAGTGATAGGAGAAGTGTCATCAATATTCATCGGCAATTTTCAGCCACTTCCAGAACAATAACAGTCACATTAATGAAATGAAACATATGAACTATCCACCTACACAGTTGAGTACATATTTTCATGAACCAGAGCAGTCTTTTACTCTGCAATATGAAAAGAAGGTTTGTTACTATGGTTCCGTCAGTGCCTCACATCTGTTCTCACTCTCAGCCAGACATGGCAGTCTCAAATCTCCCCACCAAGGCCATTACCTTGTTCTTCCTTTCCTGGATAGGCTTGCTCCTGCCCTCCTCTGTAGCTTCATTGCTCCTCCCTTCATCCTTCCTCCACTTCTGTGCCAATTCCACGGTCTTCGTTGGCTGCATTATCTTCTCCTTAGTTTTGGCCTTTTCTTGTGCAATTAGTTCATGTTCAATAACAGCATCCCTTAACTCAGTTCCATTAGCAGCTTCTTTTAATGCAGTTTCACAATCAACTTGCTTTAGCTTGGCTTCATCATTAGCTTCCTTTGATTCAGTTTCACTGGCAGCTTCGTTTAGTTTGGTCTGATCAACAGTTTCATTTAGCTCAGTTGCACAGACATCTTGCTTCAACCCAGTTTCATCAACAGCTTCCTCCGATTCAGATTCATCAACTGCTTCTTTCGGGATGTTTATATCACTGTTTCCAATATAAGCCCTGTCACCTGTGCTCAGGTCTTCATTGTCCTTTCCATCATGTTTCTCCTCCAAAATGTCCCCTGTGTTCTCTTGATTCTTGTATTCCTCCAGACTAGAGGATGTCTTGCTATTGAGATCCACAGATTTCAGATCAACAGGGTCAGGGAGCCGTTCATGCAAGTGCTCCTCTATGGAAGAGGTGCTTATGCTCTCTGTCTCATCAAATTCCATCAACAGCTCAGCATCTTGTTCCTCGATTTTTGGTGTCTCTTTTTGTCTCGCCGGCACACTTGTTGTCCTCTGGATAGAGACATATTTCTCGGCTCCCATTCTTTTCTTTGTTATAGCGCCAGGAGCACGAGTGGAAGATGCAGCTTGAGTTTTTCCAGCTCCAAGAGGTCCTGCGGTTGTTTTCTGAGATTTCGGCTTTACAGAAGATGCTGCTGCCTTCTCAATACCAGGCCTTGTAGAGAGATTATTACTCTTCTGCATGGTGGATGGTGATTTTGCTGCCCTGGTCATATCCTTAGATGAGGTGTTTGGAGCTGCAAGGGCTGGAGGCCAGACAGATGTGGCACCAGGCTTTTCTGCTTTTCTTCTCATTGTGTTTGTTTGCCTTGCACCAGCCATGGACGAAGCGGAGTGCAGTGTCTTTCCGTGACTTGAAGAGGCTGAGCTAGATGTGGACCGGGATGAGGTCGTGCGAGCGTTGAATGATGATGCGGGTCGACAGGTGTTGGATGAGATTGAGGCGGGGGATGGGGATAATCTGCGATCAGGAGAGGTTGGGACGGATCTTGCACGCCGTAGCCCTTGGTCAGACTCACTGGGTTTGAGCCCTGGGGACATATTCTGAATGCCCCGGTTGACTCTAGCATTCTGCTGAGGGTCCCTCCTTGATGTTGCCATTGCCTATGAGCTATTCTGCCAACAAAAACAAAATGCACAAATTAATGATGCTCTTAGTCCTCTCTTCCTCTGGGTTATAAACTGCAACCATTTTTATGCCATCATCAGAAAAAAGTACTAGTTTGGCATTGTATATAATGTATACAATAATTGGGCTTGACTAGCAATTCAACACGTTATGAATGATTATGCCCTTTTCTGTGCAGTTTCATCTAAGAGAGAAGGCAAATAATTGTGGAATATTGACCGCAAAGCGCAAACGGAGGATGAATAGAAAGGAAATGGCATGGTTCAAGGTAAAATTATGCTGATAATCATTTGAAACAACATAATACTTTTAGAAGGGCACTCATTAATTAACTGTTTATTTTATTTGTTTTCCATGCATCACACATCATGCATGCCTATTCACACCTATCAACTGCGCTTTTCAGATGCAACAGCCGAGAGAACATTGCAACCACACGGATCCAAACTATGCTGCCATTCTGCCAAGAAAGAGGCATACCTCGGCTGACCTCCGAGCTGTTCACACGGACTCCAAAAGCTGATCAATCTCTGCAATCATGGTCAGCAATGGAATAGAGAAGGAAGGAGAATGCTTGCATTGATGTGCCCACTTTTTATGGCCTGCCTCCTTCACCTGGAGAATCTAGGCGGTTGCTGTATTGAAATAGTCCGAGGAAGGGCACTGGCTGAAAAGATTTTGTGAATGTTGGCCCTTGTGCTTCCGTTGGCCGTATTCGGTGGGCGGTCCATAAATAGTGAGCAGAGACGTCCCTGGCCACCATTGATGATTCAAGGTGTGTGGAGGAGGGCACAACGCTATTCTAGACGGCCGGGCAACGGATCCGCCGTTTTGGCTTTTCGAGCCTACTAAGAGCATCTCCAAGAGTCCTAAACTTTCCACCTAAAAACACTATATTTCCCAACTCCAGATATTAAGAGAAAAAAAGAATCTCATCTCCAATAGTACCCAATATTCCACTCCTAAAAAAATTAAAATTTGGTCCACTTGAGTTTTTTCTTTTTGGGCAATTTTTTTTTCCGTGCGAGAGTCTTCGAGGCCGCCGCCGCTCCTCCTTCCTTCGTCGTGCCCTAGCGCCGTGCAGTTCCAACCGGCCGTGGCCACCACCTACCAGCCACAGACTGGCGGCACCTCCCAGCAGGCCGACCATACCTCCCGACCTTGAGCCACAGGCCGCCGGTCACCAGTCAGGCAACTAGCCATCAGCGGAGCAGCAGTATTCGCCGGCCAGTAGCAGTTCAGTACCATCAGCAGAGGATAGTACCATGAAGCGGCCATCAGCAGAGCACACTAGCATGCAGGCAAGCAGTAGCACAGTACCATGCAGCAGGCAAGTAGTCCAATGCAAAAAAAAGCTGCTGGCTGCCGGCCACCAAGACAAGCTAGCAGCAGAGGAAGATGGCGCGTAGATGGTGTAGTCCTTCATCCGCTGGAAGATGGCGCGGCTCGTCAGCACGGCGCTGATGATGACGCTCAGGCCGGGCTCCGTGAGCACGATGTTCGACGCGCCCCACGCCGCGTCCATCTCGCGTCCGCCACCCCGATCCCGATGTCCGCCTTCTTCAGCGCGGGCGCCCGCAGATGTGCTTCCGTTCCTGCAGCCGCCGAACGATCTCGTACTTGTGCTCCGGGAACATGCCCGCGAACCCGTCCGCCTTCTCGATCAGCTCGTCCACGGCGGCGGCGGCGTGGATAAGACCAACGAACGGCAAAATACCAGAACGGAGCAGTAGATCGATGGAGTTTTTACCTCTTCCTTAGTGGGCGGCGGCGAAGATCCTCTACCGTCGATGAAGAACAATGGCACGACGACAGAACCGCGGCAAAGGAAGGGCGCTGGAAGGAAGAAAACGTCGCGACCTTTGCGCCACGGAGGATACGCGTGAGTTTGCCGTGCGTAAAGTTACGCGGACGAGGGGGTTTTTTCCCAACTCCTAAAATATTAGGAGATTGTATTAGGAGTTGTTGGAAAGGACTTTTTTCATATCTTTCTAAAAACCAAAGATTAGGAAGAGGTCTAGGGAACTCTTGGAGATGCTCTAACGGCGGGCAGCCGGGCACGGTTACATGCGTGCCTGTCTATGAACTACTTTGTTGCTGGCACGCGTGTACCCTGCTGCACATGTTGCATGTTTGACAAGAGATTGTATTCTGTGGCCCTGTTTGTTTTCTATACGATCTTCTAAAATTTCTGTCACATCGAATGTTTAGACATATACATGAGTATTAAATATAGATTAATTATAAAATTAATTATACAACTTGCAACTAATTTACGAAACGAATCTTTTAAGCCTAATTAGTCCATGATTTGACAACGTGGTGCTATAGTAAACATGTGCTAATGACAGATTAATTAGGCTTAAAAAAACGTCTCGTAAATTAATCTCTATCTATGTAATTGGTTTTGTAATTAATCTATATTTAATGTTCTTTATTAGTACTTACACATTCGATGTGATATGAATTTTAGGAGCGACTAAAGACCAAACACCCCCATGTATGTATACCGTGTGACTCTGTCACAAGTCACATCATATGAGTTTACCAAGGCAATGTACGGAGTATACTTGTGGTATACTGGTATGGCATGCCATTGTATACCCTGTTCGTTTGGGCTTGTTTGGCTGATAAACCATGGTTGAAAGTACTGTTGACTGATTTAATGTAAAAGAAAAATATTGTTCGTTACCTGAAAAAATACGATTTATAAGTGAAACAAACCCAAAAGAACACTGGTCATCGTGGGGCTCATTCCCCTTGTGCTGAGAAAGCATCTGATCTGACCTCTATTCTCGACGGAATCGCAGCTCTGTGTCCTGCCCCTGTTTCGTAGACAAAAGAGTATGTTTTTATAATTTAGATTAGAAGTAGTTTTATGAATGCAGCCATAAACTAAGTACTCTCCGTACCTTAAAGAGGGCACGTCTTATTTTTAAAGGAGACAGCCAATTTAAGTTTAATTAGATTTATAGAAAATAACCATTTGTATCTTTAAATAGGTTTATAAAACTATGAAAATATGTTACATCATTAATCTAAAATTTATATCTATACCTAATATTAAAGGCAACATATCAGGTGCAAATCAACCAACCTGTGCAAACTTGGAAACTGTCAATCAGGATCACTAGATGCTGATTCAATGGATGGGGTGAGTGAGCTTAAGCGCAAAAAAAAGGCCAACGGGTGGGGGGTTTAAGCGCAAAAAAATCTCACCTCTCACCTCATTCATTGGATCAGCATCTAGTGATCATGATCGGTAGTTTCCAAATTTGCACAGATTAGTTGGTTTTCACATGATACGTTGCCAATATTAAAAGCTGAAATAGTTTTTCTATCTGACTTCTTTTATTTTCCATAATGTCCTTAGGCACCCATCAATGACCTAGACTTTCATATGTGTCAGAAAAACACATGTCTAGCCCCACAATGCAGAAGCCAATTCTAAAAATATATTGAAACCGATGACACGATATGAAATTTGATCTCAAGACGTATTGGAAGATGGCGTGACTTTTACGTAAATCTCCAAGTCTCGAGTCATCCAGGTAACCACACCAAACTATAAACCATATGTGCAATTGTAACATATGTATATATTTGTTAGATACTTATTCGATACCATAAATATTATTACCTTTTGTATATATTTGATCAAAATTTAAGATGGTTGACTACTCAAAAAATGAGACGTACACTTCATCTCTTTATAATATCGCTAGCAAAAAGCAGGTTTCGGTTGCTCAAGTCTTAGTTTTGGACCACTTAATCTTATGTTCAGTAGAGCACTCATTGGTGATAAGCTAGCAAAATGGAATGTGTTGGGCGCAAAAGTAGCATTTGTGCAATTAGATGACCAACAAGATTTGATTAAATGGAATCTCAATAACAAAGGTTCTTTTACAGTACAGTCAATGTAAAAACATTTAGTAAACTAAATTGTGCTTCCTATTCATAAGGCCAGTTGGAAGTTAAAATTGTTGTTTAAAATTAAGATTTTCATTTGGTTCTTTATGAAAGAGGCAGTTTGACTAAAGATTATTTTATCAAGAAGAATTGGAAAGGTGTTGAAAGATGTTGTTTTTGTAACAAGATGTGCCACATGACAATAACATCTTGTTTGAGACAATAATCTTGTTTTTTTATTGTCATGTGGCACATTTTTGTTTGAGAGTGGTTCAGGTTACTTTTGGTTTACGACCACCAAGAAACACAAAAGATTTTTTTTAGGCCTTGGCAAAGACAAGTAGACTCTAAATTGTGATCCCAAGTTTGCGTGGGAATAAGTGCAATATTTGGTCAATTTGGTTGAGCCGAAATAGTGTAGTTTTGACAAAAAGAGGATTTATTCTTACTTGTAGGTTATTTTTAGGGTCATGTATTGGACACGCTTTTGGTCCATCCTTTAGAAGGAGAACGACAAGCCAACTCAAAAGTGGGCACACCGCATGTTAGAGATAGATCTTCAACAAGCATACATGCATGATTTTATTGCATTGTACTGCCTGCTCTTTGAGAGCTTGCTTTTTTCAACCAGAGACTGGACTTGTAATAACGGATGGCTAAGTGCATAACTTATGCAGAGGCTGGAATAAAAAAAAAATTCAAAAAAAAAGACAGTAGACAACCCTGCGAAGGATAACGAGCATACATGCATGTCCGGCGAAGATACCTTTGAACATCTTTTTCTCGAACGCAGATACCTTTGAACATCATTCTCAAAGTTTGGCATTTGCTTGATTCGTCCTCGCCTGCGCACTCTCTTTTCTGTAACAAAGCCCATACCCATTTCCTCTTCTTTTTTTTTGCTGAAAAGCCCATACTATTCAATGCCTACCTCTGAAGAAAATATGCATAAAAGTACGTACCCAGTGCAGAGAGCTCCCGCTCTGTGCGGGGTCTAGGGAAGGATATCAGTGGCAAGCCTTATCCTCGCCTGTGCAATGTAAGGAGACCGCGACTCAAACCCGAAAAAAGGAAAAAGTCTATTTTGTCACCCTTAACTTTCATGAAAGTCACATTTTCCTTCCTCAACTCTAAAATTAGAAATAATTTCTTCCTCATCTCTCAAAACCGATCGCTTGACCTCCGTGGCTTTTTCCCTTTTCCTTTTTTTAATGCTTATTTTAGCTGAATCTTTAAAAAATATAGTAAATCACAGAAAAATCATAAAATAAAAAATCCAGTTGTGTTAGACTCTACATGAGTAGATTTACACAATGAACATATGATATGGTATTCTTTAAAATAAAGTTTTTCTGTAACTTTAGATCTATGTTTTTCTATAATTAATTTATAGCTATAGTTTCTCTGGTCCAATTAAGGTAAAATTTTTATGATAGATTAATCATTTTCATGCTTGATCTGTAGAAAAAAAATCATGCTCATTGGATCATATATGACTAACTTATTATCTATTGATTTATCTAGGTTTATCCAGATAAAACTATAACTCAGTCATACATGATCCAATGAGCATGAATTTTTTGATACATCTCAAGCATTCAATGATTATCCCACCGTAAAAATTTCACCATAATTAGATAACAGAAACGATGGCTATGAATTAATTACAGAAAAGTTTAGATCTAAAGCTACAACAAAAATTTTATACTAAAACATACCACATCATATGTTGACTATGTAGATCTACTCATATGGAGTCCAACAATAATTTCATGCTCATTAGGTCATGTATGACTGAGTTATAGATTTAATTTCATTTTAAAACTATTTAACAAACATAAACCTAGATAAATCTATAATTCAATCACACGTGATCCAGTGAGCATTAAATATTTACTATAGCTCAAGCATGTAATGATTAGTCCATCATAAAATTTCATCACAATTGTACCAGAGAAACCACAGCTATGAATTAATTATAGAAAGATATAGATCTAAAGTTACAATAGAAACTTTGTGCTAAAGCATAGTATGTCGTATGTTCACTGTGTAGATCTAATTATGTTGAGTCCAACACAAATGGATTTTTCATTTTATGATTTTTCTGTGATTTACTATGATTTTTTAAAGATTCAACCAAAATAAAAATAAAAGAAAAAAAGAAAAACCACAAAATGAAACAGCCATGGAGATCAAGTGACCTGTTTTCGAGAGATGGGGGAGGAACTATTTCTAGTTTTAGAGTTGAGGGAGAAAAAACTGACTTTCGCAATAGTTGACAACCATACAGCCCAACATAAAAGATAAGCCCTTCTCTAAATTTGTAGTCCCATAGCTGGGTCTTCCATGTAGCCACGTTCCAGACGTATTGGCATGGGCGGATACAGAGGGTATTCCCCGTATTCTCAGGAATACCCAACTATTTTAGCACACTTCTATGTATATATGTGTATATACTTGTATATGTATATGTATAATGCCATATTTTGTAGTATTTTCACTCATTGAAGCCCAAAACAGTAAAAAAACAGCCTCTCAAATTGACTCATATTTTGTAGTATTTTCACTCATTGCAGTTAAAAACAACTGATTTTTTTTATTGACGTGGAAGTAGGAATACCCAAGTTTGGAATCCTGGCTCCGCCACTATTATTGGGCACACCTGTTCCATGTACAGTATCAGTATGAAGGCACTGCACCGAACTAAGGAAGAGAGAAGGTCGAGGTAAGCCTTTATATTCGTTGCTTCAGACATGAACAACAGAGCACAGTGGTATATCATATACAGAAACCAGAATTTACCAAACCACTGGTTCATACATGAAACCAACCCAAAAGGTTTTGGTAAATATAAAGGTGGGCAATCAGTAAAACAAACTCATTCACTTCCAAATCCGAGGAAAATATGTCAAAGCTGCAGTCTAAATGAATAATCTTCTCTCTGCTGTTAATTCCACCCTGTTCCTATCCTTTTAAGCGGCATCACTAATCCGTTAATGCAAAAAAACACCCTTAGCCTTCTAGTCCATTCACAAAGTTGGAACTCAAACGTCAATATTTCCATAGCACCTCCAGGGTAGTAGTCTCATGCATGAAGCATACTGAAGTTCAATTTGCTAAGTAGTCTTTTATTTCCAGAACCTCAAATAAAGGAATATTGTATGGGTTCAAAACCCTTTTCTTCTTCTTAATATATTGATGTGCAGCTCTCTTGCGTATTTGAGAAAAATGTCAATTCCAACATAAGTATGATATTCTCCTTGACCCTCAGCAAACTTTCACAACCTTCATCTGTACTGTTATGGACTCAACCCATATCATGGAAAAGTTTGTCTGACACCTCTTTCAATTTCAGGGTTTCCAGTGGAAGCTTAGAGATGACAAATTGCACTAAAACGTCTGTTCAGCATTCAGCTTCCCAGGTGTTGCATTCCCTACCATCTTTCTCCATGCAAACTCACCAATTTTCTGACCACCAAGTCCCAGCGAATCTTGGTCGGATGACTCATCGGTCTCCTTGAGCATGATATCTGTGGAGACCATACCCTTGGCAGGTCCATCCTGTGCTCTCATGCTCCCTTCATAGGACAAAAATTGCAATACTTCAGCTTCCCTATTATATCTATAGTAGACAAGAGCTATGCCATCTGCTGGTCCATTTTGGAGAGGGGTACAAACAGTGTATAACAGATAATCAGAGCTGATTTCTGTCACAGTGAAGGCTTCCTTGTCTGCTAGATTAAGAGAGCGATACATTTTCCCATTTGCTCCATTATAGAGTACGAGCATGAGTTCCTTCGCATCAAAAGGCATACGTACCACTAACTCAACAAACTGCACAAATAGGCAACGCATGTAAGCTTTAGATTGTGAAGAAGGGAATAGAAGTTCGGAACCAGTGAATTTGTGAGGGGTCTCTTATATGTACTAGGAGTTTCTAAACATTGGAGCACCAATTTTACAACCAAAATATAGTGGATGATAATTACACAGAAAGCTAAAAGTATCCAAAGCAAATTGCATTGGAGGTCAACAAGTTGTTCCTCACATGGAAGTGGGTTACTGATCTGAGCTTTGTTAATTCATAATTGGTTCAATAAAGATCATTGGCTTGAAAACACACCATTAGTCCACAGAGATCAATTCTTAAACACAGCCATAGTGGCATTGTGCTCAGCTTGACCTATTGAAACACCCAGAACTTCCTTCTATAGACCAGTTATTTACTAGTTAGTTGTGAATTGTGTGACCATAATTGTAATGATGGTGGCACTTAAGGTGATGATGTTTGAGAAGAGAGATTGTGTATGATAGATCTCAAGCCTCACTCACAATCTCCTGTCTTACTAGATTTTCACCACCCTCATGATCAGATGGCCAGAATGCATTTGTAATGGAGCTCAAAAGACCCATAATAATCAAACATGACGGCACTAAAAATAAAAGAAGTATTAAGGGTTCAATGCAAAAGGTAAAATGAAGGTTAGGTGGATGCACATGCCACCATGGCAGCACCTAAGTGTCCACAGCACCCTGGGTTAGGGCATGCTGGCGAGCCAGTAAGCTGCAATGAGCCACTTAACAAATTTGAGTGTCCCATTACTTTAGTCTCTAAGAATGGAAACCTAACTGCGCATGATGAATAAGTTTGATAACTGCCATTCCAAATTACTCAAGATGGAAACAAAATAACAAACTTGCCCAAACATTGCTGTTATGATGAGAATGTCTGGACAGTAATTATGAAGAGAAATGTTTTGTAATGGTGTTAAACGAAAAGAAAGTGGCATTCGAGGAGTAACAAAGTTAGTCCCACCTTCCTAAGATTTCCCAAATTTAATCCACACATTCATCTAATGGTACATCCAGAGTTCACATGGTTGCAGCTAGACAAGAGTTTGACTAACATAAAAATGGAAATCTCACCTAACAAATAACCATCATGACATGACATGTCATTTAACTGCCATGTCTCAAATGTTCAATACATCAAATTTTCCTGAAGTTGTTTTTAGACACTTCGAGTTATTTCTTGTCCCATTTTTTCTTCTTAATATAATGACAAGCAGCTCTCTTGCGTGTTCGAGAAAATAAAACATATTTCATCATATAAATGATAGGCAACTGCAAGTGTGTAACATGTAATAGTGTATGCAAGTCAATTCCTTGGTGATATAAGCAAACCATAGAAAATGGATACTAGAGAAAAATATAGTGACTTGTAGATGTTATACCTCATTCTTATCTTTGCCTTTATTTTCATAGTGGAACTCATTGACCCAAGATTGCTGTGATTCCCCAATGAAAGTTGAAGTTTCTGTTAGAGGGTTCGTCCATATAAGATTTGCAAATTCTGGATGATCGACAAAAGGATTTCGATTATGCTGGTAAAGGCTGCAAACCCTGTCATTCCTAAGCTGCTCAGATCTTGATGGTGGATCAAGTTCATTCCACCGTAGTATAGCTGATAATAGGCCCATCTTTCTTATTTCTTAAACAAGAAGCAGAAATTTGATATAATTAAAAGAACCAAAAAAACATTTTGATTTAAGTATTAATATAATTAAGGTGTGACCATGCAAGCAACTTGAGTATTGATGTCCTTAGTGCAATACTGTTATCACAAGATAATATAAAGCACTATATTTTCCAAGAGATGTCTACCAATTACTAGAATTTTGTGTCGAGTAGTTAAAGTTAAAAGCTATATCATGAATATCTCTCCTTTGGAGTTTGGACAAAGTACTTACGAATATTTGGTGACTCAGAAATTTCCAAATGTGGAGTTCCATCATTCTGGCTAGATCCATAGCTTACCGCCATGTACATAAGGGACCTAGCTATATCTCCACGCACCTAAAGACAACAAATTGGAAAACATTTTAGTGCCAAAAATTAGCAAAGAAGCTTAAAAGGAATAACTACCTTAGCATATGGAAGCAACTAAGACTGGTTTTGGTTAACTATTCAACTTGCACTGGCATGATTGCAGCAATTCTAAACATTTCCTAATACTAATTGACACGTTATGAAGGGAATATATATATAAATACACACACACACACACACACACACACATATTTCTAACTGCAAATATGTCTCATGGCCTCATGGGATCAAACAAGATACAGTTCCTGCATCAGTATTTGTTGTTTCCAATTCAAATATCAGCATACCATGATATTCCACGAGAGATATCACTTGGTGCAAGAAAAAGCACTGCATGTGTAATGACCTTTTTCAATAACATCAATAATAAGACATCCTTACTCCAAATAAATGGCTTCTGAACCTGAAAAGGAGGTGCCCATTTTTCAGTGTCCGTCTCAGTGTCAGGTGCTGCTTCCTGATTTGCTGGCCTCACACATCTTACTGATGTGGCACTACATTCTCCATAATATTTGTTTCCCCGTGAAGAATTTACTGAAAACAGGATTTAAATTTTTTACAAGGTAATCAAAATTCTATACTGTGCTATTCCATTCAACATAAACATAGAGTTCCGTTCTTTGTGAATATAAACCATAAATTCAGATAGCCAGTAAATATTTCACTTGAAAACAAATAAAAACCTGGCCTTGAGTTGTTTCCATGATATGCCAATTGGCCAATTTGCAAATGATTGAGATGAGTAAAACATGTATTCTGTTACTAATGATGGAAACGAATGGCCACTGAGAAGTATCAGATAGCAAAAACATAATAGTTAAATACATGAGTGGGCCCGAACTTGTCAAGGGATGCCACTTAGGTCCACAAACTTTGAAAACATAGTTCGGGTCCCTAAACTTGCTAAGTGGTGCATCAAGATACACCCCTAAACTTGTAAAATGGTGCACCACAAGTCCATTTCTCGGACCATACCGACCAATCTGTGGTGCACCACTTAACAAGTTTAGGGACCTAGAAATACGTTTTTAAAGTTCAATGGGCCTAAGTGGCACCCTTTGACAAGTTCAGGAACCACTCATGCATTTCACTCTAATAAAACTAACCATTGACATCTGCAGGACGTATGTTGTGAAGATCTGTTAGTGATGGACCATAGGTTAGGCCATACGATCTAGGCCAGAGGTGCTCCCCTGCACAGTAAAATGCACAACATTGTTGCGAAAGAAAAACCCAAAGAAAAGTGAGCATCCATCCCTTCTCTAGACTGAGTTTGCTTAATGTCACAGAAGTCACTCACTGTTCCATCCATCTGGTTTTCCTGCTAAGAGCTTTGACACAGCTCTCTGTGAGTATATCTCAATCCTACAAGAAAAATCAACACACAATATGGAAACCAAGTGCCAATGCTGCATAAGCAAAAGAACAGTAGTACCCATAAGTTGTTTTCTTTTAAGAATTAAAGAACACCATACACTTCCGAGGACGCCTCAGGGTGTTCTGCATCAGCTGCATCGAGAATCTTAAGCGCCTCCCACACCTATAAAAGAAGGATATAAATTCTAGCTTTGTCACATTGTTCTTTCATGATTCGAGCCAAAATTCGCACCAAATTAATAAAGAAACACGATAGCTAATTGATAGCCAGGCTACAAGGAAACTGACATCTTTGTAGCGCAGAGCGGCGTGGGGCGAGACGACGGCGGCGAGCTCCGTCCTTAGCTCGTCGCCAGTGCGGCCGTCCAAGCCCGCGTAGTAACGCCCGACATCTTCACAGTCGTACGCGGTGGCGTCCAGCGGTGAACGCTCACCGACCGAGGAGGCGGGGGCAGCCTGGAGAAGCGACGGGGCTGAAAATGCGACCGCTAGTGTGGCAACAGCGAGCGCACGGAGGCACCGCAGCAGCCACGGCGTGATGGAGCCCTCCGGGAGCGGGAACAACGATGGCGCTGTGGGTCCGGGGCTGGGTTTCTTGCCGCGGCCGCGGTGGCAGCAACTTGGATAGGGTGGGCGACGGACGGCGGTGGAGCGGCAGGTTCTTGCTGAGATAACGCTGCGGATAGGACAGCGGGAGGCGGCGGCGGGGAGGACGGTGGCCAAGGGCGGCAGCATTTCTGAGTTGTCCTGGACGGCGGAGACAGAGCAGGCTAAAAAAGTTTGTCGCCACAACCGCGTCCGGCATCTGTTTCTAAAATACTGTGAATACGAATTTAAAACTTCATAAACATATTTTAAACGAACTTGCTGTTAGGCTTAGCAAAGCGGAAGGGAACGCTAATGAAACCCATTCACACCCATAGCAATTATTTACAGCATCTGTTTGGTTGCAGTGGGCAACGCTTTCCACTCTCATTACAGCGTTTGGTTGTTGACATAAGTAACCATTAGTGAGAACAATAAAATAAGATGTTTCGAACTATTTTTTTATTAATAAAACAGTGTTTTTCTCTCAACCGGAACAGTGCTTTGGCTTATTTTTTCAGCGAAGCGAATGGGGCCAATAAGTAAAGGCATATTACAGCAGCAAGACAATACAAATCACGTGTGACTTATCCATAAATCATAATAAAAATTAAAAGGTAAATAGTTCAAAAATCTCAACTAATTGGGACCAACCTTATAACTAGTACACTTTTAAAATGCATTATGCACGGTGACAGTTTTAGAAAAATCTAAATTACAAGATGCTATCTCTCCGATTTTCAAGTGCTTCCCAAATCAACATTGGCTTATTAAATTGTTACAGCTAGCAGCAACCAGCAAATCCTTCACTTCTTCTTTTGAGCATCATCTAATAAATGAAAAAAAAACTTAAGCACAGATCGCTTTTCCATGTTAGCATAATAAAGAAAAAATAAAAAATCTTTAGATAAACAGAATTTCTTTTTCCATGTTAGGATAATAAAGAAAAAATAAAAAATCTTTAGGAAAACAGAGCTATCCATGATGAGAAAAATAGACTTCTAGCTAGTAGCACAACATTGTCACTACATTTGTATAAGTTGAGTACAAGTTTACTCTAGGGATACAACTAGTTTATCAAAAGAATAGGCTCTACATTTGGAAATTTCTATCAACAAGATTAATATTCAGCTAACTCACACTATTCTAGAGAAATTTGCTAAAAAAAATGCTCCACAAGGATAACATACATAAATTAGAGGAACATGAGAATGGAAAGGTCATTATGAACAACTTACCAGCATGCATGTTCCATATGAATTCCCTCCTTAAAGTCTTTGGAAGTGCAAACAACATAGTCATCTGATTGGGACATTCACTAATACACTTAGCTTTGACAAGTTCGGTGCCAGTGAAACCAAACGTACTCAACTTAGTAATAGACTTTTCTTGAAGAGTTTGATTGGATCCTTGTGTATTACCTCCTCTTGGATCTTTTTTTTTTTTTTGAGTCTGGACTCCTAGACTCCTCTTGGATCTTGGCTTCATGCTCCATGGCTGAAGCCATTTTACCAAAGTGTTCTGAAGCATTCTTAAGATCAAGAGATAATTTTTGTCTCTGTTCTATTAGAATATGAAATAATAGGTTTAAAGACACCTCATAAGTCACCATTGAAGTTGCTCTTACTGTCCACATGTTTACAATCGAAATCTAATATCAGACCATGTTTCCAAACCAAAGCAAGCACAATCTGAAATCTAGCATGAGATTATGTTATGAATAACGTGTGTATAATCAGGGTACGAAGTCTAATTTTATGACATATTACAACTAATGACAAGATTGTTGTATAAATCTCTGAGCTCTAAGTCATCTAGTGACTGTGTAATAATTGTACGTTCCATTCCAACACATGGACAGGTTTGCTTGTATCTGAAAATATTGGTTTATATAAAGTACATTTTATACTAAATTTATCTAATATCTGTATTCAATTTTGTTGTGTGTAATTAAATAAAAATAAAGATAATATATTTTCAGTTTTGCTAAACCGTATCCAATGTGCACGCATGGGCTCACGACAGGCCGGGGTGTATGACGGGGCTCCCAACCACTCGCTCTAGATCTAGCGCCCAACAGGTTTTTTTTCGGCGACGTGGCCAGGCTAGAAGCCTACCGAGGCCAGCGGCTCTCCTGACGGTAGATTTTCATCTGGTGGATCGGTGCAGCTGTCGCCTGAGCGCATTCACACGGGCCATGATGAGCAAAAACAAAATCCCACGGACAACAACCACCTGTCGTGGATTTGAACTGCTACGACCCGATGTGTAGTTTGATCTCCAGCTAGCAAGTCCGATCCACCGACGTTCCATGGAGAATCTGCAACACAAATCAGAAAAATTAAACTATAGGGATAGGGAACAAACGACATCGATTTTCATGTACATACCTAGTCTCACGAAGAGCTCCGTCGGCTTAATCGTGTTTTTCTAATGGCGGTGGCAGGAGGATGGTTTCGATGATTGTTGTCCGGCGCGTCTCTCGGTGAGATTTGTTGGCGCTCAGGCGGCCTAGCTGATCCTAGAGCAATATCGTCGTGTCCCTCCCCGATGCGTCTTTTCCAAAGGTGTTGAGGAGCTTATGAGCTGAAGAATGGGCGTCAGATCGGCTACGTGCTAGATTGTGTGTGGCCTCGAGCGTACTAGCACTTGCTAACATGTGACTCAAATCGACGTCAACAAAAAAATCAACAAAAAAAAAAAGATAGAAAAATTAGGGACGTAAGTACAGAGGCATGAAAAAAAGTTAAAGCGTAGAAAACAAAACACATATACAAAAAAAATGAAATTCAAAAAAGAAGATTGTGATCATAGAAACATATCATAAAAATAAAATACTGCTAAAAGGTTAGGAACCTGAAAAAATAAAAACACTAAAAAAAAGTTAGGAGCACAAATACCCGAGATTGACAAAGTAAAAAAGTTGCGAACACAAAAACTTAAAAAAGTATAAAGAACAAAACATAAGAAAAAATTAAAATAATGTGACAATGACAAACATATAAGAAATATTGCCTATACGAAATATTGTGAGAATAGAAACCAAGAAAACAAAACAAAAACTAAAAAAGTACAATGATGGCAAACATATAATGTAATAGAAAAACGACTACTAGCGAAAACAAAGTAAAAAAGTTGCGACACACAAAAAACTTAAAATAGTATAAAGAAGAACACAAAAAAAAGATTAAAAATAACATGACAACGACAATATATTAAAAAGAATGCAATACAAAAAAGATTGCGAGAATAGAAACCAAGAAAACAAATTCACAAAAAAAAGAAACCAAGGAAACAAAATAAAAACTAAAAAAAATAAAGTGACAATGATGACAAACATATAACAAAAAAATAGTATAAAGAAGAAAACAAAAGAAAAGATTAAAAACAACGACAAATATATAAAAAAGATTGCGAGAATAGAAAAAGGAAGAATGTGGCTGCTGGGATTCGAGCCCAGGTCTCTACGGCCACAACGTAGAATTCTTACCACTAAACTACAGCCACAATTTTGTTCAAATTTTGTAACATCCTCTACAAGTAACTTACAGAGTTACAGGAGGTTTTTGCTCGGCGTGAAAGAACAGGAGAAACTAGAAGAAACCTCTGTCATCAGCGACCTCTCCCCCAACGCCGCCGACGATGGCGCAGCAGCAGATGCAGCCAACCGCTGGCTCGGGCGTCCTAGATGCCGTGCCGCTCTTCGTGGTCATCCTCCTCGCGGCCCACGTCCTGGCCCTCGTGCGCTTCCCACTCGCTTTTCTTCTTCTTTTTCGTTCCCCCGCGCCTACACGGTACACGCTTTGTCGATTTGATCCCGCTCAGATCCGGACTTATCACCCCTCTTCACTCTGGCTGCAGGTGTTCTGGATGTACAAGCTGGCCTGCGAGAAGCAACCACCCCGGAGGAAGACGCAGTGACGGCGCCGATCCACGCGATCCTTCTCTAGCCTCTTCCGTCGGTAAGATTCGTTCCTGAAATTGGCAGCCTAGGATAATTTGGTTTTGGTAATGTTTGATATGCTACTCCTGAACTACGTGGGCAGGATCATTTTTTTTCTTTTCTGGGTTTATGGATTAATGGTGTCTCCAAGAGAAGCGATTTTACATTGGAATTTGTGCTCTTTTTTTAAACGTAAATCTGACAAGAGTTTTGCCAGAATTATATTAGTAAAGAAGTAGAGTTTGGCCTAGGCTCAAAAAGAGAATAATACAATAAGTGGCAATGATGCTTATGTAGTTATGTATGTGAATTTCGTAGTGTTGTCAATGGGTTGGGAATAAGAAACAATTAGGTCCTGTTTGTCTGCTTTGTGATTTTTTACACTTGTATGAGTAGCTTCTACTTGTACTTTTCTGTCCACAAGAATACCATTGACTTCTTTTGCACCTGGAAAATGCTGTTTGGATAAAAAAAAGTTTGCGCTCGTAGCTACTAGTCGTGCACTGCTCGCGTCTGCCGGCCACCAGCATTAGCATCTGCTTGAAAAATGAACCATTTGCTGGACCTAGCATAGATCGGGCAAACTAGAACACAAACAACATCATACCAAGCATCGGCTCATATGACAGATCAAAATTTTCAAATCAGGTCATCATATTTTTTATCCAAGCGCCAAACAGGAGCACGGACATGTGCAAATTTTAGTCGCCTATATAATAGATGGTGCCTTTCTCAGTACAACATACAATGATCTTCTATTGAAACGCGAGCACAGCCAAATGCATGGAACACTGAATTTTTTTTAGAAAAACATGAATTCGAGCTCAAAGCTGAACATAGTTCCTCTAGTTTGCTGATTTGTGCTCCTCGGACATTAAATGCTTTGCAATGTCCTGAAATGTTTTGCAGCCATTAACCTAAAACATGAGTCATGAAACTAAGTATATTCTTGAAATAAAAAGTATATAGCAAAACAACAACAACCGTGTCATATGATTGCTTATTCGAATTGAATTATTGCTATGTTGCTATCCTTTTTATGGTGGATAGAGTCCGCTTCTGTCCAATTTTCTAGCTACAAAGTGTTTAAAAGATAGCTCATTGGACTTGAATCATCGCTATGCAGCTATGATGTATCATCTGATACTTACAAGCAATGTTAGCTACCTGCCTACCTCCAACAAAAGAACTCAACCCTCACATTCACAAATTGGTGTTTCTGAACTGCAGCTGGCTCCAATCCCTACTCTAACTGCAGAAGCAATGCGTCTGAAATTTCTGCCAACTCTAACTGACTGACTCCGACTCTACATATTAACCATGATAGTTAGTACTAGCTGGCTCCATTCTATTGGCTGAATCTATCTACTAGCATTCATAGTTCACTAAAGGATAGTACATAAATAAGAATGTGGTAGCATAATTGAGTACGTTGTATACCAAAACAAAACAGAAAAAATGAATGCTATATTGGACTGTAGGAGTCCTTGTTAAACAAGTAGTATACCGTAATATTTAAGAAAAGTCATCTTGAATACTATTGTTAGAGGAAACTGCTAGAAATTTTAAAACTAGATTGATGCAACAACTATAAGAGGCAAGTAAATAAAATTACACATTACCAATGCCACTACATAGTAAAGTCATCCTGGTTGCATCTATTGCCTGAAATCTGCTGCTTTGCCGCTTTGGTTCCTTTCAATTGTGAAGTCCAGAAACAAATTCAAAACATGAAGACCTGACAGAAAAAAAAACATGTGTTTATGGAAATCAAATTGATTACATGCAGTAGCTAGGTACTTCAATGCATGATAACATGAACAAATCAGTTGTGTTTTCAGCTTAGGAACATGCCACTCCATATACAGGTTACCAACTTACTATCCAGTAGCTAATCTTCCTCAACTGTACAACAACAGGCCAGGGCATCTCACAATCACAGAAGGCACAACAGTCATATTATATGGTATAGCATGGCAAGGATGCTGGCATCTCATAATCTTGGGTGTACAAAAATATTCTTCTCCGAGCTCATCCAGCAGCCTCTCCCCATGGATCGATCCAAAAATTGGTCCAGAAATAGACATGCATCCCTCCTACTATATGATCTACCAAGATCATCAGTGATCCTCTTCTGATGCTGGTCTTTTTTCATTTATCCATTTCTACCTTTTCCTTTCCATATCTTCTGCTTTCTTTCTTTCTATACTAGCTACTACCTACTTTGCAATGGACCCTGTTGATAGAGGGCATGCATCTCTGCTAATTTACAATGCATCAATTTCAACACCATATATAAGCAGCCAAAAACGATTGCAGTACATCACACAAGAGATTGTTGCATTCTAGAACCAGTAAATCGACAAGATGCTAATTGGTCCTATGTGTTTAGATCGCAGCAAATACTGGTAGCGGACAAGGCAATAACTATTCTTGAATCGATTCAATAATACGAACATGGGGCCTGTGTCTCAGTGTCTCTAGATCTGCGACCTGTGTCAGCGATGACAGATTCTAGCAAGTACTATCCATTCTCTATCTAGTACCTGTCCATAATGTGATTCATATTCACAAGCTAGATCTATCGATTTGCTGACGAAGAGCAATCGGAGAAGAACAGAAGTACAAAATGGAGAGATGTGTGGTTGATACTTGAATGGATTCGTTGTCTGTGGTCACGGATCTGTGCGCCTTGGCCATGGATTCACTCGTCATCCTATGGATTGGCACCTTGCTGCCGCCAGGGTTCACCTGCCGCCGCAACCATCAAGTTCTCTTGGTGGCACCGAGTCGAGGCTGCAGAGGAGGCCGACATCCCAATGATTGTCAGTGTTTTTTTTTCAGACCTGGGCAGGCATTCTTTTTCATCCCCTGGTTTTGCCTCAAACTAGATGTAAAATTAGTGAGCTCACCAGACTTCCAAGCAGCGATTTCTGAGTTGGATTGAAAAATCTTTGGGGCCTGTTATTTACAAGGGTTTGGAATGAATGTTGTGCTTCCAAACAGGCCCTTGTAGAAAACAAGGTAAAAGTAAAACTGCTTCTGTTTATGGTAGCGGCAGTGGTTCAGTTATGCATATTAAATCAAAGAGAGACAATTACTAAGTCTGTAGCAAGCTAGCTTAGGTTCACTGCTTAGATAATTCAAGGATTAAGTTGAAATAGATCTTAGCTTTGGCCTGTATACAAAATGGCCTAGACGGGAGTATAAAGAAACTGAATTTTCTGCCTCTGGAGTAACAAACTGCTGCTCTAGGTTGTATGTCATTCTTTGTTTTCTTATCACCAAACCTCATTGATCTTCTCAAGCCAAAGTATTTTACTATCAGTTCTTGTTGCATTTCTATTTTACTATCAAGCCAAAGTATTTTACTATCAGTTCTTGTTGCACACTAGCCCTTCTATATACTGAACACCAATGCAATCTTTGATTGAATGATCACTAAGGAATACAAAATCAATCTCTGAAATCACTCTAGCTACTGAGGTTTCATTTCATCTTGTCTTGTTTATGGCATGCCAATTGGGTTAACCTGCTAAAACGTGGTACCGATGGGTTGATTTGATAACATCTTAAAATGTCAATGTCATTACTGTTCCATGTGTCAATAAGTTTCAAAATGATATATCTTCCATATGTTGAGCATAATCTAGATAATATATTTGTATTTGATCACATTTTGTGAAACTGTTGTTTTAGTTCAAAAAATATTCTGAGCGGTCAACATAAGAGAAGAGCATCCATGAACCATGATCAGCACCTTTGGTGGTATAATCACTTCCGAGTTATAATATCTGTTGCATGTGGGAGAGGGAGTGGTCTGGGTTGTAAAAATGACACTGAAATTATGCATTGATCGCAAGTGGATCGGGGTATGTGCATGCATCTGAGAATATAAACGTTTGGGAAAACTAGTTTCTATAAATTACTTGTAAGGTGATTGCCATTTTGCCTCACTTATTTGTTGTGCAGTCATATGGGGCATCTTCTTGGTGCTATCAAATGTTTTACCTAAAAATTCAGCTTCAACTGTCATACAAGAAATATGCAATAATCACGAATTGCGACATCTTTACCTAATTCTGTATTTATGTTTCTGCTGTTAGCTCATGTGTCTGAATACGACTTGAACGTTTTGATGCTTCAGCTGTAATATGCATTGCTCCTTTTCTCCACATTTTTAGTTGATGGCATGTGATACTTGTCGCGTTTCACAATTTTGATGTGCAAAGACAACATTAGATTTAGCACGTATTAGCCATGTATACTTTGTGGCCAAGTACGCCTTGTTGTGGAAGCTGTCCAATCCCATACTCCATGATCGTCCAACCTCATTGTGCTTTACTATGTGGGAAGGACTGCACGCCCTTTTTCTCTTATAATATATGTTCTTCGTTTGTTGAGTCTACTGTTGTAAATTTATTTTTGCATCTGAAAGTACGCATGTAATAAATGGCTAGAGATATTGCCACATTGGAGATTCTGATGCTATATTTCTCCGTACTTTAACCTTCACAAAGGTTACAGCTTGTAAAACTGCATCTCCGTACCTAGTAACTGTATCATATTTGTTCACAACTTGTAGCCGCTAACTTCTTTTTTCCTGTGTTAAAGGAACTTATCACTTTTGAAGCCTTTAATTGCATACGTTCATTTTTATGCCATTAAGGCATTAATTCAGCTCCTCTGATGATTGTAGGTCGGATTTTCATGTGAACCAGTATCCTCCGTAAGATGATTTAGGCCGTCAAATTTTCAGAGATATCCATGTAGTATTTCAATTTGTTCTATTTATACTTATTGCATTTTAGGTATTGGTTGAGAACAACTTGGTAGAGGCGACATTCTATGATTCACTGTTTCCCTTTGGGTGATAAATAAATGTTCGTAGTTAATTATACACATGTGCTCTGTCACGATCTTAGCAGCTGGGAAAAGTGAAATATGGCCAAGTTTCTCGTTCCGGGAACGTTTTGGG